CCCAGCCTGGGATGCAGCAGCCGCAGACCGGCATGCAACAGCCGGGCATGCACGCCCAGGCAGGACTGCAGAACATGAACGCCATGCAAGCAGGAGTGCAGAGAGCCAGCGTTCCTCCCCAGCAGCAAGGGATGGGAGCTATGAATCCCCAGGGGCAAGCGATCAACATCATGAACCCCGGCCACAACCCCAGCATGGCCAACATGAGCCCGCAGTACCGAGAGATCCTGAGGCGGCCACTGCTGCAGCAGACCGGCAGCAGCAGCAGCAGCAGGGAGGGGCTGGCATGGCAGGAGGGATGGCAGGACACAACCAGTTCCAGCAGCCTCAAGGACCCGGGGGTTACCCTCAAGCCATGCAGCAGCAGCGGATGCAGCAGCACATCTCGATACAGGGGGGGTCCATGGGACAGATGGCTCAGATGGGACAGTTGAACCAGATGGGCCAGCCCGGCATGGGCGCGGACGGCGCTCCCAACATCCAGCAAGCCCTGCAGCAGCGCATCCTGCAGCAGCAGCAGATGAAGCAGCAGATAGGGTCCCCTGGGCAGCCCAACCCCATGAGCCCACAGCAGCACATGCTCTCAGGACAACCGCAGGCGTCTCATCTCCCCGGCCAGCAGATCACCACCTCCCTCAGCAACCAGGTGCGGTCCCCCGCACCTGTTCAGTCGCCCCGTCCCCAGTCCCAGCCGCCACATTCCAGCCCGTCGCCCAGGATACAACCCCAACCCTCGCCTCACCACGTCTCTCCCCAGACTGGTTCCCCTCACCCAGGACTCGCAGTCACTATGGCTAGTTCCATGGATCAGGGACACTTGGGCAACCCAGAACAGAGTGCAATGCTTCCACAACTAAACACCCCCAACAGGAGCGCATTGTCTAACGAATTGTCTCTGGTCGGTGACACCACCGGGGACACGTTAGAGAAATTTGTGGAGGGTTTGTAGCAATTATGGGAGCATCACTTTTTGGTTTTTGTTTTGTTTTGTTTTTATTTTTATTTTTTCTTTTGGGGTTTTTTTGTTGTTGGTTGGTTTTGTTGGTTGGTTTATTATTTTTGTTTTTTCCTTTCGTGTTCTTGGACATTTTGTACTGAAAACTCAGACATCTGGGTTGTTTTGAATCCTGGATGGAACTGCTGCTTCCTACACATGGAAGAATGAATTGCTGTTTAAAAAATAAAAAGAAAGACAAAAAAACACACACAAAAAAAAAACAAAAACAAAAAAATTTACAAAGAATATATTTTTTTGTTAAAGCCAGGCGGTTAAAATATCTGGTCTCTTTTGTGGGTTGTTTTGGTTGTTTGGTTGGTTTTTTGGGGGGGTTTCATTTTTTTTGTTGCTGTTGGCTCATACCTTTTTTTTTTTTTAAACTGGGGGGGAGAAAAACAAACCAAGCTCATGATATTCATCTTTTTTATTTGTATTTTCAAGACTTTTAAACCGTTTGCGTTTCAAAGAAGACAAAAAAGAAAAAAAAACACAAATAATAATATTCAGAAACTGTTTCCTGAAATAATGCAACATTATAATGTATCCCAGTAACTTTGACACGTTGTGGGAAGATTATTTTGGGGGAGGGGGGAGGGGGGTTTGTTTTGTTGGTTTTTTTTTCCATGGTGAACTCTGCAGGAGTTTTGAAGTATTACCCCTGGAAAGATAGGAATTGACTCTTGCACACAAAAACCACACATTTGGCCAATGCCAAAATCCTCTTGTCTTGCAGATGTAGAAATTGTTGCTTTGTTTTCTCTGATAAAACTGGTTTTTTAGATGAAAAACTAGGGATGATCACTCTTAGGCCGTGCTGATTTGAATAGAGAAGAAGCATTCTTTTCTTTCTTTCTTTCTGTGTGAAACTTGAAATGAGGAAAAGCAATTCTAGTGTAAATCATGCAAGCTCTATAATTACTATAAATAAGAAAAAATCCAAGGAGATTCAATCACTGTATAGAATGGTAAAAAAAAAAACAGACAAAAAAAAAACCACAAAAAAACACAAAAAAAAAACAAAAACAGAAAAAAAAACACAACAGAAAAACAAACTCATTTCTTATAATATCATATTGTTAAATAAACTGTGTGCAACAGACAAAAAAGGGTGGTCCTTCTTGAATTCATGTACATGGTATTAACACTTAGTGTTTGGGTTTTTTTTTTGTTATGGAAAAAAAAAAATGCTGTTTTTCAACATTGTATTTGGACTATGCATGTCTTTTTTTTTTTTCCTTTTTTTTTCCATTGTATATAAAGTATTGCTTTAAAAAATTGATATAAATTACTGAAGTTTTTAACATGTATTCTGTTCTTTAAAAAAAAAAATCCATGTAAGAATGTTTTAAGGTTTTTATTTATTTATATATATTTTTTCTTTCTTTCTTTCTTTTTTTTTTGGATCATGTTCTTTGTAAGACATGGCTTATGGATATTCACTCATTACCCAGAGCAGCCAGAGGCAGCACTAGGAGTGGCAAGATAACATGGAGCATTGTAGGTAGCATGTCTTGTTTTACCAACACCCTTTAGTGATTGTTTCCTTTTTTTTTGGGGGGGGGGGAAGGGGAGAGGAGACAATGGGAATGGTTCTTTCCCATCCATGGAATATTTGCAGGTGTTCATCCCTAAGGGTTAACTGGAATAAATTATTAAGAGTCGTTGCTTTTTAAAAAAACAAACAAAAGAACATAAACAAACTGCATTCATTTAGAGAAGGATCACCAATGAAAGGAAAATAGAGAGTATTGAGTTAATTCTAGGCTAATTTATTTAGTCTACAGTAAAATATGAACCTATTGACTTTAACACTATTTTTCTGCTGTTAACTCTGAGTCTAGATTTGAGGGTTTTCTGTGGAATAAAAAATAACAAATCATGTCCATGTTCCCTTTAATATCCTGTCACCATGCCCTCATGTTCCTGGCATACTTACCCCTCCTCCTCCCCAATCAATTACTTTCTTGGAGTTAAAAAACCCAGGGAGATTTTTCCCAGCATAGGTGTGAGCTAAAACCAGGACTAGCCTAAATCTCCCATCACTTGGACCTTGAGGCTTCTCCATTCTCTGCGACTGAGATGGGATTGGCAGCAAATCCCAACAAGGTATCCTGGTATCCCAGTATCCCACCTGGCAGCTGCTGCTCCCACAGGGAGCTTCAGGCACACTTGGCTTGGTCAGTGCTTCCTCCAGCCTTATGTTTTTATTTGGAACAGTGTTTGGGAGAGGATGGGGGGAGAAGAGCAAAGGATTTCTTTCCATTTTTACCCCCTCACTTTGTTCTTTTTAACTGTAGAGGGTCTCTGCTTTAGCCTTTTCTTGCAAACTTGGAACTGTTGTACCTTTTCCACCACCATTGGATTCATCTGCCCACGGAACTGTCTTCAGCAATTCAAGATGTCAAAATCTGGGGCTGGGGCTGAGGTCAGTGAACCCAAAGCTTGTCCAAGATAAATTGCTGTAAAATAGACAAAGAGAAAGAAAAGATGGAAAGCCCTGATGCTGTGTCTCATGCTGTGTACTTAAAAAGAGGAAAAAAAATACTATATTTGTGATCAAAAAGAGGAAACTTGAAATGTGCTGGTGTTTCTAATAAAAGCTGGTAAAACTGCTTGGATTGGAGGATGGTTCCCCTGGGCTGGTGCCTGCTGGGATCAGCGAGGCCCTGCCACCCACGGCCAAGATCACTCCACTCAATCTTGCTAATTCCTTTAAGTAGGATCTATTTTCAAACCATTGGCGCGGCCTCCGGATCGGGTTGAGCCGAGTCCTCTTTGGAGCACAGAGGTGCTTGTGGGCTCTTGGGCTCGTTTGGCTTCTTCTGGGGAAGAGTGGAATAAAAAAGCCTGCTGGGAAACGGATCCTGGAATATTTGGAAGTTCAACCTGAAGGATGGCAAGAGCACAGAGCCAGGGGTGGATTTAGAGCTGATAATCTGGTTTGGTGGAGCAGTTGTTTGAGGGAAGAGCAGGTGTTTAAGCAGGGAGAGAAGGGAAGTGCAAAGCTGAAAGCCAAACAGGAGGAGGGGCTGGGCTTGGTGTGCAGCCCCCTCAGCCAGGGGGGCTTCAGTCCCCTTTGCTGACAGGAAACTCAGCGAATCTGAAGACTGGATGGGATCTGCTTTTCCAGGCCCTTGCCTCCCTTTGGCTGGGGATGAGGAAGAGCTTCCTAGAAACAAGAATTTCTAAGGCAACAACACACTGGAGATTGGTGCAGGACTTTTCATCTGGCTGAGACCTTCCCCCTCTGTTCTGGAGGGGAAGAAGGTGCTTAAATCTGAACAACTTGGTTCTCTGCTCTTCTTCGGCCACCACCAGTACAGCCCTCCCTGCCACTGGCTCCCACCAGGCTCTGAGGGGCTTTCCTCTTGCTGCAGACACACCAGCTGAGGTTCAGCACCTCGACTGCTCCCTGCTGTCCCTCCAGGGATCTGCCCACAGCAT